GCTCTCTCTCTCTCTCTCTCTCTCTCTCTCTCTCTCTCTCTTTCTCTTTCGCTCTCTCTCTCTCTTGCTCGTTTGCTCGCTCTTTCTCTCTCCGTTCTCACCCTATCGCTTTCCCTCCGGCGAGCCCTCCGTGTTTGTCGTCACCCTCTCTCTCTCTCTCTCTCTGTCTATTTCTCTCGGTCCTCTATTCCACGCGTGCCCTCTCCGCGTATCACCTCTCGCTTCTTCTTCCGCCTGTTTCCTCCACCTGCGTCTCTGCTGTCTCTTCGCGCGCTTCCTGTCTCCATTTCGCTCTTACTTTCTCGCGCCCCCCCCCCCCTCTCTCTCTCTCTCTCTTCCCCTTCATTGCGTCGTCGCGCTCTGCGTTGCACCCTCGAACGTTCCTTTTTCTCTTCTTGCTGCCGCGCGCCGATCTACCGCTCGCTCTTTTTGTTTATCAAGCGCGGGGCATACGCGTTGCGTTATGGCCGCGTGCCCGCCGACGTTAATTTTCCGGGAAATTATTTCGCCGAGGGAAAAAACTTGAGCGGCATCGCGGTTCCTATGACGATCCCTCGTGGGAGGGCGAAGATTACGACGAGGAAGAGAAGGACGAGAGCGACGAGATTGCCATGGAGGGCCCATGACCTACATGCGTGAGATATCATCACGTCCGCGGTCCTGAATTTTCCCGCGCTCTCTTCCCGTGAGGGTGATGCTCGCATATTTCAGTGTCGTTGAATCCCCCACACGTTCTTTCGAATTCATGTTAAATTTATCCACTTGTTGGGATTATGAGATAAACGAATTGCCTCTCGCGCGACATGATGATTGAAATGATGTCTAGAAAACAGGCGAATAAAAAAAAAGAAATTTGTTTTTTATTTATATTTCTATGTTCTTATTCATTATCGGATCGAACAGGTTTATTGCATTTATTAGTAAATTAAACATGCGTGTACACGTACACATACACGCGCCATTAAGGTCTTCTCGTAAAATTTTCTGGAAATTCATTAACCACTCTAGAAAATTATATTGATTATATTAATATATGCGTATATTTCAATTGCGCAACAATACCCGGAAGATCGATACGAGAAGGTGTAATGCTATCGGGGCAGACTTGTAACAATAAATAATAAATTACCGGTAGCAAATTGTCATTAAATATTAATTATTGGAAATATGTTATTGCAATTTAGGATGCAGAATCTATATCGAATGATTACAAACTCATCGGGTAATTAACTGCCTACCTAATTTTACTCGCAACAAAATATCGTTTTATCTTCAAATATTTGCTTTTCGAAATTGCTTCAATTACTCGTCTTGCTAATCTTTCAAAGTAAACATGTATCGAATATTGGAAGTTGTTTTTTTTTTTTTTTTTTTTTAAAGGAGCTGTATTATTTTGTTCGTTTGGTAGGATCATCTAAAATCGAGATCGAGAAGAATTTCATTTCATGCTTGACGCGCTTCTTTCTCGTATCCTTGCGTCGGCCATCGTCGATCGGCTGAGATATCGCCAATCGTTATCCGCGACTGTGACAAAGATCCCTCGAACTCGAGTTATTTCTGGAAGAGACGGACGATTCTCGAGATCGAAATATCGCGATGATATACACCCGCCCATACTCGCTCGCAAACAGCTATACATTTTGCGCTTCCCGTCGCCGCGTTTTTCCGGTCACCTTTGCAATGAAGGAAAAATTCCGGATCGCGAATTAATTCATAAATTTCATAGAGGCATAATTTTTCCTTTGCAATTGATATTAAACGATTTAAGGTTATTATTAATTAATTTTGTATATTATATACATGTATGATGTATGTAACGAGAGGGATAGGGGTATTTTAAATAATTTCATTTCACATACTCACAGTAACAGGGAAGAATACCGCGAGTTTATCAAGAATTGTTGAAATTGTTAATCGCGTTCACGTGGCTAACGCGCGGATTCTCTCCTTTCCGCCGGCTTTGCACTTTGCGTTCGCTCTGGTATTCTGAGCGCCACTTGAAAATTAATTTGCGTCGCACACGAAAGTCCGAGAGAGCGGCACCCTCGCAATTTCATGGAGCTCCACGCCGAGGCGTGGTCCAGAACTTAAACGCGGACGTTAGAATTTTTAAGTACGATTAATACCATATTTAATGTGCGGACGCATATTTTAGCTGGCGCCGCATTAATTTTCGCCAAACCATACTTTTCTTATTAAAGAAGATAATGTAAAAAAACGTAGGACGAAACGTGAAATCTTTTCCCAGTAAGGAGATATACTAAATCGTTCAAAGATGAAAAAAAAAACCGAAGAATTTTTATATATTATTATTACAAGTTTTCTCTTTCGCACCGTCTTTGATATTCAATTTGTAAGCATTTCTATCTTTGTTGAATATATTAGTAATATTTATATAAAATGTGTGGGTGTGCATGTGATAACATAAACGCGATTATATGAATTACATTTGATTACATTATGGCTATATACAGAGTGTGTCAGAAATACTTCAACAAATTTTGGGGATGAGTTCTCCACGCAGATAAAAATCTAATAGATTTAGATTAGGCCATGGTACTGAATTGAATGTAATCTTTCGATTATAACTCATGAACCAGGAATTTCCGGACACATATTTATATGACATTTTTTGCTTTTGTGTGGAGAACTCATCTCTAAAGTTTGTTGACATATTTCTGAAACATCTTGTATAATATTACTATACGCTTCATAATATCTGTGAAAAAAAATTAAGAGAAAAATTA